CTCCGTCCCCACCCTGCTCAGTGCGCCTAACAAGACCTTCCTTCCAACCCTACCCAGAGATCCTGCTCAATTCTACTAATGGGACCCTCCCTCCAAGCCAGCCAGAGCTCTCCCCACTCCTTGCTGGTAAGAAGGGGATGTGTGTGGCAGGGGCGATCCTGGAGTAAAAGAGTGGTGGGGGAGGTGAATCTCAGAGTTCTCAAGGACTGGGACGCCCTCAGACATGTTCTTAGTGAGGTGTGCATCTTGTTGCAATTCTTAGCGTTGCTGGCCACACCCAGTCACCTGTGGGCAGTGCTCTCCCACGGCACATACAGGCTGGGGCAAGGAACCTCCCACCCAACCATGGCTTCCTGATAGACAGACTCAACTGGAGACTGGCGTTCTCTGAGGCTGCCCTCTTGATGAGGGTGTGGTGCTGCCGACCCAGGCAGAAGGGGTAGTGGGAGGGCAGAACAGGAGCTACGGCAATCTTTTCTCCTGGACAATTGGACTAACTCCCTCTTTTTCTCTGGCCTCCTTTCCCAGACAGCTGGGGATTGGTCAGTAAATGCGGAGACCCCACCCACTGCTCCCACATCCCCTCCCCATTCCCTTCTCCCTCCCTCCACTGGCACCAGGGCTCCTGCACAGCGGCCAAGGAACAGCGCAGAGAAGGGGGAGACTGCTGAGGAGCCAGCCCTCAAGTAGTGGGAAAAGGGGGTCCCCTCCCCTGGGAGCGACGACGCGGGCAGCACTTCACCGAGAGCCATGGAGAACATTTGAAACCTCTGGGAACTTTTTCTTTTTTAAAAACTTTTTTTTTTTTTCAAAAAGGTAAAAGCTAAAGTTAAGACTTGACGGGCATGGGGGGAACATTCAGTGGAGCAGAGGGCAAGTGAAGGAAAGCGCATCTGGGGGTGCTGGAGAACAGGGGGCTTGAAGGAGGGGGTAGGGAATGGGGGAAAGGGAAATATGGCAGGAGAAGGGAAGAGGGGAATGTGGAAGGAGGCGGGAGGAGAGGCAGGGGGATATGGCAAAAGAGATTGGATGGGGGGGTAGAGGGAGGGGTGCAGAAGAAGAAGGGGAAGAAGGGGCACTGAGGCAGCAGGAGAGCTGGGAGGGTTGTAGGGTTCTCTCTGCCTTCCTATGACCACCCATTCTTGCAGGGTGTGAGAGAGACTTTTTTTCTCCTAACAGGAAAGGGAGCATTTTGGGGGGGGGGGGGCAAAAAGTGCTGCGTTTGGAATTCCAGCCTCAGCCTCAAAGTGGGTCTGTTCGGAAAACCCCGTAGGTGCTCTATATGTATAGCAGCAGGCGGCCCGGGAGCTGAGTCGCTTTATTCCAGCACACGCAGCCTGCATTTCTCCTGCACTCAGAGGAGATGGAGATGGTCCTGTCTAGCATGTCCCCTATAGCATCCCCTATAGCGTGGTCCGGTCTGGCTCTACGTGACCCAAGCAATGGGGCTGCTAACATTTCCTCTGGGAGACTCTTCCACAGCTTGGTAGACCCTCACGGCTAGGAATGTTCTCCCAGTCTCCAGCCCAAATTTCCCTTCGCTCCTCCCCATCCCATTGTTCCTCAGATCACCCTAGACATCTTCTCTCCCTCTTGGGCCTTTACGCCCTTGGGGTGGGCATGTGGTGGGGGAGTCTGCGTTTGGCAGTCCTGCCCATCTGGATCACTTTTCCCCTCTCTGCTTTCTGCCCATCCCAGCGAGAATAACAGTTCCTTCCTGGGGAGATAAACCAGTGGAAACCAGCTGAAATTAGGGAGTGGGGAGGCTTGAGAGGGGGAAAGATGTTGGCAGTCTGATGGTGGCTTGCCTTTTGGGGCCTCTTGGGGGAAGGGAAGATGGGGTGAGGATTAAGGAGAAGCGGGGCTGTTGGCGAGGGAAAGGGCCCAGCCGTTGCAGATATGGGCTGTAACACAGAGACAGTAGGAGGAATAGAACGCATGCCCTGGCTGACCCTTTGCTCAGAGAATCACGAGTTTCACTTGGATGAAAGAATAAATGGAGTGGAGCTGAAAACGAGAGAGACCGGGTGGGCGGGCAGGGTTCTGAGAGCTTCTGTTGACTTTGGGCGGCCACACACCAGCGGGGGCTGACAGGCAAGAAGGAAAGAGGTGACGGGGACAGGCAGGAGACAGAAGGCCTGCCCTGCAGCCTGGGTTTGGCATTGCAGGGGAGGGCAGTGCCAGCTAGAGGCAGTGGGAGCTGCTGAAATCCAGACTGTGGTTGTGGGCTAGTCATTTTTGTGGTAGTGAGGGAAAGAACGAAGGGGAGAAAAGGACCCGCCTCCCCCTCCAAGGATCCCGCCAAGCAGGGAATGGGCCCACAACCCCCAGCCCAGATGGGCCTTTTGCTGAACACCACCTCTCTCCTGCCCCCTTTCCCTCTTCTTTCTGATCTGAGTCCCGCTGTAGCCTTGAGCATCTGGGCACCGTGTGCCTCAAGGAGAGGGAGACTCCTGGGTGGGGAATGCAGGGGCACAGCTCATCCCCTCTCCCTGTTCTCTGAGCCTGGCCTAAGGCCAGGGGAGCTGGAGTGCTGGGAACCGTCTCAGCTGCCCCACTGCCTGCTCTGCACGGGGGACTCGGCTCTTCCTGGCCCTGGATAGCTCAGCGAGGCTGCAGGGGGCAGGCAGGGCCCCGGCAAATTCCCCTGCTCTCCCCACCCCCATCCTTTTCTTTGCCTGGCCCAGCAGGTGCAAGCTGTGGATGGGGTGAGGGGGGTCTTCATGGGGGGAGGGGCGGAGCCAACCCCCCCAGCTGGAGGCAGTGGGAAATTCACACAGCCCAGCCCTGTAAGAGCCCAGCCCCGAGGGGAAGCCTGGATCCCCATTGTAGCCAGGCCTGGCTGATCCTCAAACCCACCCACACCACATGCCTGGCAGGTCTCAGCTGAGAAGGGAGAGCTCCCCCAGTTTCTCCATTAGCAAGGAGGCAGGGCCCTGGGAGCCATGGGGATAGAGGACCCTGGGAAACAGGCTCCCTGCCCCCCCACCCATCCCCAGGGAAGCAGCCAATGGTTGCAGTGGATTTCAAGGGGAGTTTTGTTTTCCATTTGCCTACCTCTACCCCCTGGCAGATAAGAGGGGCCCTGGGTGAGCAAACAAGTCTGGGGTGGGGAAGGACACGTGGCGCCAGCGTTGACGGAGACTCATGGCCAGTGTTCCTGGAGCATGGCCCTCTCTGGCACCTGCTCCCCGTCAAGGTGACTTGCGGGTGGCAGCACAGAGGCACGTGGCGGGGAGGGGAGCACAAAGCGGGAGGCTGAAATGGGCTGGGAGCGCGGCTGGGGACAGGACAAAGGGTGGCTCTGTTGGGGACGGGGGCCAAAGAGCACTGGAAATGCCACTGGTGGGGGGTATCAGCTGGGTTTATCATTGATCTCCTGGAGTCTCGGCTGGCATTCCTCCTCCTCCTCCACCCTTCTTCCTCCGCCCCCCGTCCCATACACACACAGCCACAGAGGGTATCTGTGCTTTCCAGCTGCAAGGCAGAACCTCAGGGGCTGGGCTGTAGGTAATCTCACCCCCAACCCTCCAAGAGTCCTCCAGACCCCAGCCCAGCCAGCAGCCTGTCTGGCTCGCTCTCAAGGCAGCGTGATCTCCCTGCCGCTAATCCTGCTGAAAGGACCCAGCCCTGCCCCTCAGTGTAGGAACCAAGGTGTCTTCAGCCTCTGGCCCCGGGGCTAAGCTTACCTGGGCAGGGGGAACATGCCAAAATGCCAGTGGCCTTTGACCCATTGAGTATGCGCTTGCTGTGTTGGCAGAGGACTGCTCAGTGGAGGCCTGGAGTGGAGCCCACTGCCCACGTAAGGAGTGGAGCAGCCTCCAGGAGATTCTGAGATGGCAATACCCCGCAATGCAAAGCGGATCTGAACAGCTACCCTGACTCATTCAGGTCTGGAAAGCAAGACTGGGAGTCTGCTAGGAGAGAAACATGGCTTAACCTGGGACCGGGAGCCCAGAGACAACCTGACCTACTGACACAGTCTCCCTACTTATTTCCAGCATGCCTATCACTGTAATATTTAGGGACAGATCTGTGCACAGACTGAGAGCTGGCTTCCAATCCCAGCTTGGCCACTGGCTGGCTTGCTGACCTTGGACAAGTCACATTGCCTCTCTGTGACTCAGTTTCCCTGCCTCCAGAATGGGGGCCCCAGGAGCTGATGTTTAATACAGTAGCATTGGTGAAGAGCTTTGTGATCCTTGGAGAGAAGTTGCTGTAGAAATGCAAACAAATTCCCTAGTAATCATAATAAATGTATTTCTTTTCCCTGCTAGCTACCCTCCTGGTTGGGCTCAGGCACAGGTCTGGGTGGTTAGAAGTTCAGCAGTGGGGTTGGACATAGGTCAGGCGCAGGTACGAGGGTGGGCAGGCATAGGGTCGGGGGTGGCTACAGGGGCAAATGCAGGGTCGGGGTGGGATCGGGCGCAGGTTCGAAGGCGGGTGCAGATGTGGGTCAGGGGTGGGACCGGGCACAGGTTCGGGCGCAGGTTCGGGGTTGGGGGTGGGACCGGGTGCAGGTTCGGGGTCGGGGGCAGGTGTGGGGTCGGGGTTGGATCAGTCGCAGGTTCGAAGGCGGGGGCAGATGTGGGGTCGGGATTGGATCGGTCACAAGTTCGAAGACAGGCGCAGATGCGGGGTCGGGGTTGGATCGGTCACAGGTTCAAAGGCGGGTGTAGATGCAGGGTCAGGGGTGGGACCTGGCGCAGGTTCGAAGGCAGGTGCAGATGCGGGGTCGGAGTGGGATCGGTCACAGGTTCGAAGGCAGGTGCAGATGTGGGGTCGGGGGTGGGACCGGGCGCAGGTTTGGGGTCAGGGGTGGGACCGGGCGCAGGTGCGGGGTTGGGGGTGGGACCTGGCGCAGGTTCGAAGGCGGGGGCAGGTGCGGGGTCAGGGTTGGATCGGTCACAGGTTCAAAGGCGGGTGCAGATGCAGGGTCAGGGGTGGGACCTGGCGCAGGTTCGAAGGCGGGGGCAGGTGCGGGGTCGGGGTTGGATCGGTCACAGGTTCGAAGGCGGGGGCAGATGCGGGGGCAGGGGTGGGATCCGTCGCAGGTTCGAAGGCGGGGGCAGATGCAGGGTCAGAGTTGGATCGGTCGCAGGTTCGAAGGCAGGGGCAGATGCGGGGTCGGAGTTGGATCGGTCGCAGGTTCGGAGGCAGGGGCAGATGCGGGGTCGGGGTGGGATCAGGCGCAGGTTCAAAGGCGGGGGCAGGTGTGGGGTCGGGGTAGGATCGGTCGCATGTTCGAAGGTGGGTGCAGATGCGGGGTCGGGGGTGGGGTCGGTCGCAGGTTCGAAGGCGGGGGCAGATGCGGGGTCGGGGTGGGATCGGTCGCAGGTTCGAAGGCGGGGGCAGATGCGGGGTCGGGGTGGGATCGGTCGCAGGTTCGAAGGCGGGGGTAGATGCGGGGTCGGGGTGGGATCGGGCGCAGGTTCGAAGGCGGGGGCAGATGCGGGGTCGGGGTGGGATCGGGCGCAGGTTCGAAGGCGGGGGCAGATGCGGGGTCGGGGTGGGATCGGGCGCAGGTTCGAAGGCGGGGGCAGATGCGGGGGCAGGGGTGGGATCCGTCGCAGGTTCGAAGGCGGGGGCAGATGCGGGGTGGGGGTGGGACTGGGCGCAGATTCGAAGGCGGGGGCAGATGCGGGGTCGGGGTGGGTCGGTCGCAGGTTCGAAGGCGGGGGCAGATGCGGGGTCGGGGGCAGGTTGGGGGTTGAACACAGGTTCAGAGGGAAGTGCAATCACAGTGGTGGGGTCGGGCACAAGTCCAGAGTGTCCATTCGTATTTCACCTGGCCCAGCCCTCCCCTGGCGTTGGCATTACCCATTCAGGGCAGGAACCCTGCGGAGCATCCTGGTAACTCGCTCCTGCAGCCAAAACAGTCAGAAAATCTCAGCCTGAGCCTTCACCTTTGCTGTTGTCATTTTTAGGCCATCTTACATCAGGATCAAGGAGTTTGCCCTGAGATCCCCCCTTCGGCTGTGACCTGTTGTCCTGTCTGCGAGCCGCTCCCACGCGAGCAGGCGGAGGGGGCAGAAGCAGGGAGACGGAGGACGGCAGATTAACATTAATCCCCAGCTTTGCTTACTTCCAGCCGCACGAGAGCTCCAACGGCAGCAGCCAGGGTGACGACTGACTCCTTGGAGATACCTTTGCCCCAGCCCTGCTGTCCGACCTGCCCAGGGCCAAGTGGGACTCCCTGCACCCACACTGGGGCTCTTCCTGGAGATATGAGGATCCAGAGGCCTGCACACAATAGCAAAAGCTGCCAGTGGTGAGCCGGTTCGGAAAAGCCTCCCCTGGGCAGTTTAATGAGTGCTGTGGAGAGCAATTATCCAGAAGGAACGCTGAACCAGAGAAAAGACAGGCCCACACTCCCCCTCAGCAGCTCGGAGGCATCTCCAAAGATCGGGAGCAGCTGCCCGGCCCAAGACACGACACAGCCAAAAGGAGGGGGTAGCATGAGTGATGGGGAGTCCGGGGGCGTGACAAGCCACTGTGACCCCTCTGGAATTTGCACCCCTCCCCACTGAAGGTCGGTTTCCTGTGTTTTAGGGGAGAGGGTGTGGAGTAACAACGGGGTGTGACATGAGTCTTGGGAAGCTACCGGTGCTCGGCTGGGTATCGGGCTCCCACGGCAAACGCCGGTTGAAATCGGAGCTGACACCGGACATGATCAGCCCACCTCTGGGGGACTTCCGGCACACCATGCACGTGGGGCGCGGCGGGGACGTCTTTGGGGACACCTCTTTCCTCAGCAACCATGGCGGCACCGAGACGGCCAAAGCCAACAACTTCTTCGCCCGGACCCTGCGGCACGTGCGGAGGACGCCACTGAGGAACCGGGGCAGCGGGGGCAAAGCCGAAGCCTCACCCGCCCCCCCAGACATCTCGCCCATCATCAAGAACGCCGTGTCGCTGCCGCAGCTCAATGAGGGGACCTACGGGGGCAGCAGCCCGGCTGGAAAGTTCGCCTTCAAGAGCACTCCAAACAACGTGTCTGATACACGCTATGCTTACGGTGAGTGGTCCTGTGGGGGGGCATGGGCTTCGGAGGCTTCAGTGCTATTCCCGGCTGTGTCGCTGAATCCAGGGCAAGTCCCTGCCCTGCCCCCCTGTGCCTCAGTTTCCCCATCTGTACAATCTCCATCTCTGGATGGACCGGACTATTTAAGAGCTATGATCAATGGAGTTCCTGGTCCCAATGAATCCCAGAATGATGCTTTCTGAGATACACCCCTAGCCCCCCAGTTGTTCCTCCCCCGCACCCACTTCCCCTTCGACTTCACCTGTTAAAGGCCCTGGAGAGCTCAGGCCATTATGGGTGGGATATAGTTTCTCACCTCTGATCCACCAGCTCCAGTCCAGTGCTGGGATGGTAGTAACCAAGATCGTTCCCATCCGATGGCCAATTGGTGGCCTGTGGGAAATGAGTCGGTGGGTGGGGGCAGGTCTCGAGCCACCTCCTATAAGAGAAACGTGTTCACAGACAGCAAGGGAGACTCACTGTCCCCCTGGCAGCCTCAGGGTGAGAATGGTCACCGAGCCTGCGTGCCCCTCTGGGACTGGTCCGTCCGGTGTGGAGGGGAAGCCCCGTGGGAGAGGCTGAGCTGCTGGCGTTCACACAGAAGGGCCGTCTCCAGCAGCACAGCGAAGAAAGGGGGGGGGTGCTTTAGGTGAACTTCACTGCTCCCAAGAGTAGGCAGCAGGCGATGCCCCCCCAGCCAGCTCTGCCCACACAGCCCGGTGGGAGGCAGTGGCCTCATGGTTAGAGCCCTGGACTGGGAGTCGGGAGACCTGGGCTCTATTTCCCAACTCTGTCGCTGGCCTGCTGGGTGGCCTTGGGCAAGTCACTTCCCTGTCCCATGCCTCCGTTTCCCCACCTGTAAAACGGGGATGATGTAAAACGCTTTAACATCTGCTGAGGAAATGCATGGCGTAAGAGCTCAGCGTTGTTACTATTTCCAGGCCTGCAGCTCCCCCTGCTTATCCAGTGCCTCCCCTCCATGCCCCTGTGGCTCTGCTGATGCCCCTCCCAGTTGTCCTGTTCCAGCCCTGGCTCCCTGCCCAGGCCCCTCAGTCCTGGCTACGTCTGAGGGAGGCTCTGGCGGGTGCCGGGGGCTGGGTTCTTTAGCACAAAGGCCACGTTCTCCAAGCTCAGCATTTCCCGGGGCAGTAATGCTCAGGTCAGTGTGACCGGTGCGGGCGTGGCTGGGCCTGGGCCAGGGAGGAACAGAGCCTGAGCTGAGGGGGCAGCGAAGGTGGCATGGTGCAATGCTGCCACCTGCTGGTCACAGGTTATAGAGCTGATCACCCATCACCCTCTCAACTCTTGGCAGAGACCAGTTCTAGCACTGTCTGTTATCTTCCGATTTGACTGGGCCATGGGTGTCCAGCACTGAGCAGTCCTTTAACAGTGGGACCGATTCCCATCTTCCCCAGTACAGGCTAGTCACGTTACAATGGAATGTAACTGGTGCTAGTTTTCACTAGTACAGGCCAGACTTTCCCAATACAGAGCAGTCACTCACTGGTGAAACTGGTTCTAGGCTGTCTATCCCCGTTCACATACAGTCACCGGTCCCAGTCTCCCATAGTACAGCCCAGTCCGTCCTCATCCAGTGTGACAGTCGCTGCCTCCCCCTGGCTCTTGTCTATCCCGGTTCACATACAGTCACCGGTCCCAGTCTCCCATAGTACAGCCCAGTCCGTCCCCACCCCGTGTGACAGTCGCTGCCTCCCCCTGGCTCTTGCGCGGCGCCAGAGGCTTCCCTCTCACCAAAGGCTCCTTGTCCTTTCAGGGCTGGAGTCCGGGTTCTGCACCATCCCACGTGTGCCACGCTCGGAGAAGGCCCGGGAGAGCTCCTTCCCCGCAGAAGCGGAGCTCCAGCGCTCGGACTCCCTACTGTCCTTTCGCCTGGACCTTGGGCCCTCCCTGATGAGCGAGCTCCTCCAGGTCATCAGCTTCACAGAAGCCATGGACAGCAGTGTCAAGTGGGAGGAGAGGGAGGAAGACAGAGCCGTGGCTGGCAGCCAGGCTGCGTCGCCCCTTGCCCTGCATGGCGAATGGGTTGAGGCCGGTGTCCCTCGGAGATCAGGGACACCCTATGCCAGGTGTATAGAGGGCAGCATGGCAGAAAGCCTCTGGGGCCGCTCCAGGCAGGGGGCCAGCTCCCCATCAGGACACTTGGTGCATGCCAATGGAGATGCTTATGCCCTAGAGCATGCCGAGGAGGGGCCTGCCTATGCTGGGAGCGGGCACCAGAGCCCTGCATGGGGCTCAGCACCCGCTGAGGAGCCGGGGGCGCTCCCAAAAGACAGCCTGTGGCAGGGGCACTGGAATGACTGCAGCATGGAGGCGGGAGAGTTTCACCGGGCTGCCCAGGTCCTGGCTCGCCACTACAGCGCGAGAGGTGCACATTGCAGCCTGGAGGAGGAGGAGGGTCCCCGGGAGAGCCCAGTTGTCGGCTCGTGGCGGGCGGACGAGTCTGGGTGGGGTCACAGTGAGGAGGAAGAGGAGGCCGCACTCTCAGCTGTGCAGGAAGGGGAGGCCATAGCTAGGGAGGGCCGCAGCGACTCCTTTGAGTATGCCGACGAGGAGGAAGAGGATGATGAAGTGAAGGTCTGAACAGCCACCGTCTCCTGTGGCCTTGGGACTCCCCAGCCCTCCCCAAGAGATGTCAGTTGTCTGGGGGCCAGTGCCCCTTGGGAGCTGTGAACCCTCCTGCCGCAGAAGGTTGGTGGGGATGGAAGCAGGGGAAGCAGCTCTTTGATCCGCCCAGCACCCTGGGCAGGCCCTGCCTTCCCCAAAAAGGCAGGTCGTGCTAATGGGGAAATCGCAATGATCACATGTTCCTTCCCCCCACTGCTTGCTGTCATTCGAAATGAGGTGCCCGTCCCCCTGGGAGGCTGGGCTGGCAAGGGAATGCTCCTGTCAGGTCACCGAGCCCCCAGCAAGCAAGGAAGAGGAGCTGATCAGAGAGCACTCCAGCCGCACGGCTCGCTCCCCCGCGTCCCCCTGAGCTAGAGGCCTGGGGCAGGCTTGCTTTCTAAGTCAACCACCCCGGGCTGGAGCAAGACAGCATTCTCCCTCTCCCTGGAGCCTGAGCGCTCTTGGCCGTTCTCCCAGCGCAAGGCTGGGCCTGGGTACTGAACCTGGTTCTGCCATGCAGCACCACACAGCACTGTCCGCAAGTCTCACGCAGCTCGTACCAGCCCTCACCAGTTCTGTTGCCTTCAGCCAGCTGCCATGCCAGCTGGGCTAGCTAATTCCTTGTTCCCTCCTGCCAAGGCCTGCCCTAGCCATCCAGTTCAGGGGCCTCCCCTGCCCCCAGAGGCCATTCCAGGGGCACAGCAATCCGGTTCCTCTCCCCTCTCCTCCCCTCCCCAGGGAGCAGACAGCAGAGTGGGGAGCCCTCCTTCCTAGAGCTGATGCAGGGCTGTGCTCCAGGAGAATGGCAGGTGTGGCTCCTATCATCCAGCACTGCCGTGAGCTGGAGGCTCTGAGGCTGGCTCCAGAGAGCCAGCTGCTCCACTCTACAGCTTTGGGGAGGAGCGCCCACTGCCCCACCCCCCAAGTTCCTGCCACACTGTCCTCAGGGAGGTGTTCAGAGCAGCAATACAGGTGGCTCGGCGGGGGTGCAGCCAGCAATGACTCGGTATCCGAATGCAGCACAGCCGGGGAAATCATGCCATGACCCTTAACCTGGGCACCAAGGAGCCCTGCCAGAGTCAGGTGCCAAAAGTCGTGATTTTTCAAAGATGTAACTGGTGGGTTCTTTCCATTTGCCCTCCAGTGCTGGACTGTGCAGAGGGCTGGTTTTCAAGGTTTCTCCCACAACCGGGAGAGCTAGACACTTCCTGTTGTTGTGTAATGAGAGCTGGGAGGCTCAGGCAGTAAGTGGCTTTGGGAAGTGGGCCTTCAGGGGAAACACCAAATTGCGCAAGAGTTGCAACAAAGTCGTTAGCGTTGGCAATGCTGTGACTCCAGTAATCAGGCAGAATAAGGGAGATGCCAGGGTCCAGCTGCCCTTGTCCCCTGTAGACCCCAGAGGGGACACTCCCAATACTCCCTTTCACCCCCACGTAGAACAAGAACATTTTCTCTGTGCTATAGCGTTCAGCCCAGGGAGCTGAAATAGGGGCTGCCCTTGGTCTGGGCAGCTGTTCCAGGAATGGGCTCCCGCTGACACTATTTAGAGGGTCTAAACTCACCCCCCTCCAACACACTTCCCTCTTCCGGTATCCTTTTGCCGGCGGGGGGTGGGGGCTGCTCACTGTGCTCCTTCTGTCTCTGGGCAACGCAGCCTCTTTGGAAGGAGCCACTCCCCATGCTGTCCTGCATGTGGCCACGCTCACACAGAGGGGTCTTTGTGCCACGGCAGGAATGACTGGGGGATGAGGTCATTCTGCCAGCCCGCACAGCGTGCCCATTGTTCACCCAGGGCCCGCGAGCCTGTGGCCCACATGCCTGCTGCCCAGTCGCCCCGGGGTCTGTATCTGTCAGGGAACACATGAGAGCATAACAACCAGGCTTGGATGCCCCAGGGGGAGGGGGAGAAAGAATCCTAGCAGCCCATGCTGCTTCCCACACAGGCCCTGGAGCTGCCAGCTGACTGATCTCATCCAGCACCCTCAGCCATATTGCAGGCAGCTGCTCCGCTGTGGGGGGAGGCTGCCCCTAGGAGCGGGCTGAAGCTGAAGTGAACGGGAACTACAGATGCCCAGCAGGGCTCTTGAGTGTAGAGTCCAGAGCCTGCAACCATTGTTACCCCTCACTGCCCCCACCCAGGGTCTTCCTCAGGCTCGGCCCCTTGCCCTGCTCATTCCAGCTTGTCACAGAAGCTTCATACCAAAGATCCACCCACAAGGAACGTCCCAGCTGTCTCCCTCTGCAGCCTGTGCACTTATGATTGATCTTATTAAAACTGTTTTTGATACTAGCCTCTCCTCTGGTGGTTCTTCCCTGTTCCCCAGCCAGCCCCAGGATTTCAGCCTGCAGAACAGCAGCACATCGGTCTACTCTCTCTGCACTTTCAGACTCCAGGGAGGAATCTACTCCCAGCACCAAGTGCCTGAACCCCCTCCCTGCATTGGTATGCTCTGCACTTCTAGTTCTGGGACTCCAGGGAAAATAGGATTTGCTACCCCATCTCAGATCACTGGACCAGCCATTTTGGTCCCTACACTCCTGCCATCACCCATATGTGTTGCATCAGAGGAAAGCAAAACCCCAGTAACGCTGGCCAGGGTGAGGAGGTTCCATCTTGACCCCCGCAGAGACCAGTTTACACCTCACATCTAGAGCCCTGATTACCCTGCTCATAGCCAGCCTGGCTACAAATGTTATCAATCAGCCCTAGCACTTGAGCCTACAGCAGTGAGTTCCACAGGCTGACAACATATTTTATGAAAGTTATTTGTTCTGCATTTTGCTGAATGATTCTCTCAGACACTGGAGCATGGTGGAAGTAGAAGGGAAGGAGCAGTGTATGCTCCTTCATTAGAATCTCTCTAAATATCAGTCTCTTCAGTGCTTGGCCTTAGCCAACTAAATAACCTTAACATTTGCCATCTGTATATCCTGAGCATAGCATTAGCTGTATGCATTGCCAGACTGGATCCGACCCGAGGGCAATCTAGCCCAGTATCCTGTCCCTGACCGTGGCCAGCAGCAGATGCTGGAGAGGAAGGGGTAAGAACCCTGCACTAGTCAGCTATGGATGAGCCCTTCCTGACCCCTCATTGTTAGAAGTTGGCTCTTCTCTGAAGCCACTTTAAACCTGGTGAGGCATGTCCCTTTGTGGGGCTGGGGGGTCACATCTAATGTCTTTGTTTTCCCTGTGCTGGGAACCCCTTGTCCTGTACTGTCAGAGGGTAAGTCTGCCCCCTGCTGGTACCAAAGACTGTTCCTATATTTCAGGTGTATGCGGGGGGAGGGGAGGAGGAAGTTACCCATAATGCTCCGAGCCAGTTTTTCTCCAGAGCCATTCCCCCTGTGGCATATGGACCTCTAGAGTGAGTCACTGTAATTTTAACCAGAGCAGTTTCACCAGACATTTAGGTAGTGCCAGCCCATGTGAAGGACTCAAGTGGACACAGGTGTCATTCCTTGGCAATTCCAAAGCCTTCCCCTCTCTCCTGCCCACACTGAGATAAGACATGGGAAAGGCTGGGCAATGGATAACTTGGCTGGAATTTTCCAGCAGATAAGAGATTGCAGTGATAAGAAGGGAGGTGATAGAGGAATAGTCTCCTTATCTCTTGCTGGATACAAGGCTTATTAACACCTGTGCAGTTTCATCCTGGATGCTGTGCCTGGTACCAGGGGGAAGGCCAAGCCACCTCTGACACCAGCTGGTGGGGAAATTCCATGGTTAGGGACAGCATCCCCTGTTAGTACCAAGGAGAGACAATCTCCCCCTGCACTGGCAGGGTTCCCCAGCCTTGAGACCGAGCGTTCTGCAGGTGCAGGACATTACCATCCTCCTACTGAGCTAAGCCTTGGGCTTGGTCTCCCACAGGGCCATCACTTCACCCCAGCCTGGTGAAAGCGCACCCTAACCTTGCCAAAGAATCATTTCCCTCCTTTGCACACTCAGGCTTGGGAGCTCCTCTCCACTCTTTCAGTGCACCCCAGGGCAGCGCCCCCTTCTGGTGCCCTGGAGACATTTTCATCCCAGCCACCGTCTCCCGCTCCACTAATCACACCCACTGGTGCCTAGAGAAGATGTCCTACCAGAATAGTGGACAGCCGCCTCTTCCCAGCAGATGGGGAGCCTGGTTTGGGGCGTTCCCATGAGAACCTTTCCTGCACTGGGTGCTGAAAGGTCAAGGCCAAGGACATCACAGGAGCCAGCACAGTTGGGACAAAACGACCCCTCCTGTGGGGTTTTTATTAGAGGAGGGAAGCAGGTCCCATCAATCTTGTTTGAAGGAGATGACTTTGAACCCGCCCTTCACACCCAGATAGCTGATCTTGTCGTAGTTGTGCCTGTTAGGGAACTCCACCTCGTGCCCGTCTGGCAGCTTCACCCTGAACTTGTCTCCCAGGAAGCTGATGATAAACTGTGAGAGCAGGGAGCAAGAACAGGAATGGGGAGGGGAGTTAGCATCAAATGCAAACAACTGGCTGGCAACAGCAAGCACCTGTCCCTACTGCCTGGGTGGAGAGGCCCCGATTCTGCTGGCCTTAGGCAAGGTGCTGGCAACTGAGCTCAGTAAATGCCTTGCAGGGTTGCGTGCCAGAGGCCCAGACCCTCAGAGGTATTTAAGCACCTAACTCCCATTGAAATCAGAGCGACCAGCTTGTCTCTCAGGAAGTTGAGCTCTTGCCTACACCGGGAGACTGGGGACAACGTCTCCCCCACAGCTGCTAACTCTGGTTCAGCTGCATGGGTGGTGGCAATACAGGGAGCCCTAGTGTAGACAAGGCTCCTGCACCCACCACTGTTTTAAAGCACTGCGTTGCTTAGGCCTGCTCTGGACCGGGCAGGACAGCACATGAAATACCAGCAGCTGCGGGAGCTTTGCCCCACTGGCTCGCCCACTGTTACCCCACCAGTGGATCTGACTTGGGGTTACCAACAGTGGGGAAATGCCACTTCTAGCCCCCAGAGCAGACAGTGTGAGGGGACAGGACAGACCTGGGTCTCTTTAAAGAACAAAACTAATAACTGATCACTGGAAATGAATCATCTCCTTCCCACAGGTACTCCCCTGCTCCACCCAGCCCAGCCCAGGGAGCACTGAGCAAGGAGAAGGAACCGTTTCCAAGCCACAGAGAAACAGGGTGATCGAACGGTGCAATGCTAAGAGGCAAACAAAGAGCTGCCCAAGGCAAAGGGAGGTTATAAATAGGGGCCCAAGAGTCTCATTCCACAAAGCACTGGAGGGAAGAAAATAAGGGGTGGGAGCAGGGAGAGAATGATTGATACTAATCTGAGAGGGAAGAGGGATCTGCTCCCCACAGCCCTCTCCCTCCCCCAGCGAAGGCATGAGCACCTGCTGGGCAGAGGCACAGGGGTCTTGAAGGCAGGTCACAGGCAGCCTCTAGGAAGCCTCCAGCAAGGGCAGGGTTAAATGGCGAGAGAACAGGGTCTGTGGGGATTGGGACTCCGAGCAGCCCGATGAGGAGGGTTCAGGGTCGGAGGAGCCAGAGACGCTGGTGGGGAGAAACAACACCTGCAGACGCCAGCCAGGAGGGGAAGAAGGGGAGACTGAGTAAGCACCTGGCAGCTCATCCAGCCGCCAACCCCGCCCCGCTTTCCCAGGAGCCCCCTCACCTTGACCTCCGAGCCCCTGGAGAAGGGCAGGTGGCTGTCGCGGTACTCCGACTGCCAGCAGTTGGCACATTTGGAGTTGCAGACGATGGTGGATTCATTGAAGCGAGGGTTGAAGTGCAGCCCCAGCTCATTAGTGCTCTTGCCAAGGTTAATCGCAAAGCTGCAGGGTGGGAGCAGAGCAGGCATTGGAGAATCCCCCCACGGAGCCAGACTTGCTGCTACAGGAGCCCCACCCATGCCCGAAGGAGGGCAGTTGAATCAGTTACACCCACCTCTCCTTTTACCAACTTCATGGCAGGCAGAGGGCTCCGCCCTGCCAGTTTTAGGGAGAGCTGGGACTTCTGGCCCAAGTGCCACTTTCCCTGAAGGAAGGTCAGGCCTGTGGCTCAGACACCAGCCTGGGACTCAGGAGAGCTGGGCTCAGCTCCCAGCTCTGCTGCAGACACCTTGGCTGACCACAGGCAAGTCACTTTAACCTCTGTGCCTCAGTTTCCCCATCCACAGACAGGGCCAGGACATTTGTTGAGCACTCAATTACTATGGTGATGGGGGCTGTATAAGACAGAGAGACGGACTGAAGGACTAATCTCTGCATCAGACAGCAAAATCCTGGTACAGCCAGGGAAACTGGCATGCTGCCCCCATCTCTGTAGCCCATGCCCCCCTCATCTGAGACAGCTCTCACACTCACTTCTCAGCATCACTGGAGACCTTGCCCTTTATCTTCAGGGTGCTCCCTGCTTTCAAGTCCAGGTTGAAGATTTCAAATTTCTCCTGCAGCAGAGAGACCTGACGTCATAAGACTCCCTGGGTGACCCATGCCCGCCCCCTGACCCAAATGAAAGGGAATGAAGCTCAGCAATTCCACCTAAGCAGGGACAAAGGCCAGGAGCAGGTCCCCTGCCCTCCAGTTGCCACCTCATGGCCCCGAGCCAGGACCATCCTGGTAGCCTGCTTGGCAAGGGGAAGAGGTGGGATTGGGCATGGAAACCAGAGAACTGGCAAGGGGAGGGGAAATGAACGACTGAGCGGGTGTGATGACAGCAAGCGCAAAGGCAGAATGTGAGAGCCCACCGATACAGGAGAATAGCTGAGAGCAAGAAAAGGAAAGACGGAGAGACACCGCAATCCTTACAGACATCCTCCTTGCTGGTGCTGGACAGACGCGGCTGGGAGCTACAGAGGATCTGGCTCAGGTACACCTCCCCACAGGAGATCTTATAGGCCTAGTGTCGCCAAGAGTTACACATTAACAGCTCCCTCCAAGCCATAGAGGAAGGCTGTAAACCAGGAGACTTTGACCCCAAGAATTATCAGCTCCTCAACTTCCTCTGACCAAGAATGGACGGGTCTTGATCAATACCCTGCCCCAGCCCCGGCCCGGTTCCCTGATAAGGGATCAGTGCTCTGATGACTCAGGAAAGTTACTCCAGTTGCCTGACCCCAAGGGGGTTTAATCACTAAGGGACATTGACATTACAGGTTTCAGAGGAACAGCCGTGTTAGTCTGTATTCGCAAAAAGAAAAGGAGTACTTGTGGCACCTTAGAGACTAACCAATTTATTTGAGCATGAGCTTTCGTGAGCCACAGCTCACTTCATCACATCTGATGAAGTGAGCTGTGGCTCATGAAAGCTCATGCTCAAATAAATTGGTTAGTCTCTAAGGTGCCACAAGTACTCCTTTTCTTATTGACATTACACTCACCACTAGAGGAGCCTCCTCCTGGCCACTCCAGGGATTAGCACTTCCCAGGTGCTGTGGCCTCTTCTGGCAGTCTTTCAGCTCATCTCATTCTCTCACCCTGCAGCCCTTCTTGCTCCAGGAGCTGCAGCTTCCTGTTTGTGACTTGGTCCTGCGGCCAGGCCACTATGGTCCTCCCCTTCTGGGATATCAAAGGCTTTTGGGGCAAACTGTTCCAGGCAGCCTGCTTTGCACTACCTCATCAGATCCGTTTCCCCAGTGGCTGGGAGGGGAACCCAGGCCTCCCTCTACTCCCAGCTCCAGCTCAGGGGCCCTCTGACCTATCCCAGACTTTGCTGCCTTTCCCCCAAGCCTCTCCTACCTTGCTGGCTCTCCCCACCTCCCTGGGTTTGCCAGCCCAAACTCCCACCTCCCAGGGAGTAACTGTGGACTAGCCTCTATAGTCCCAACCATGCCGCCCTTCTGCCAGGCAGTGACTGCAGCCTACTTCCCTGTAGCCCCTTTCTGCTCCCCACTCCCGGGCTTTATACAGGCCCCTCCTGTTCCTGCCCAGCTGAGTCTCCTCTAATTAATCCCTGCTCCCTGGCACCTCCTGCAGGTGAAGCCTGGGGAGTTCACTGGCCCAACTGCCATACAAGTCTTGTGAGGGGGTGGAGACCCCCATGGGCGGCGTGTAGAAGAGGCCAGGGGAGGTTAAGCCTACCCCAAAACAGCTGGCCATGTGGGGGGGAAATGCCGCGGCAGCGTGGGTCACCCCTCCGAAGGCACACTGGCCTGCCACCGCCTTCGGAGCACCGGAAGCGAAGCTCCACAGAAGTGGGGAGGAGGCACCAGCACCCGAACCATGACCCCGCCTGCACTCCACCCCGCCCCCACGCCGCCTCTTCCCCCAAGGCCCCGCCCTCACGCCACCTCTTCCCCCGAGGCTCCCCCCACCCGCCGCTCGCTTCTCTCTGCCCCCTCCCCTCCATCACTCATCTGGGGCAGGAAAAAGTGATGGGGCCGTGGCCCCCTGCCCCCTGTTCTGGGAAGGGGGTAGAGAGGAGCAAGTGGTGGGCAGGGGGACCTCAAGGGAGGGAACAGAGAGGAGCGAGTGCCAGGGGGGGCCCTCAGGGGAAGAGGCGGGAAGAGGTGGAGTGATGATGAAGCTTCGGGAGGGAGAGGCCAAGCAGAGGTGGGACCTTGTGGGCAGGGCCACAGTCCAGGTGCCGGTGGCCCCCCACACTCCTAGAGAGCTCCCAGTCCCTCACACCAAAAATCATAATATTCAAAGGACCAGTCACTTACCCCAGGACAACTGCACTTAAGATTTGACTCCAAAGATGACACTTGTAGAATAAACTAGCCTATAATAAACTAATTACAAATGTATTAACTAAGAAAAAGAAATAAGGGAGTTATTGACAAGGTTAAAGCAGGTAAACACACACACACACGAGTTACAGTCTTAGGTTCCAACCGGTGGCAGAAGCATCTATAATAAGCAAGCTCTATATGTCCTTAAGGGCTAACCCAGGCCAAGCGCTGGGGATCTTTTGCTTATGCTTAGTAATCCTTTCCCCTCAGAATCTGAGCAGCATAAAAAGAAAAGGAGGACTGGTGGCACCTTAGAGACAAACCAATTTATCTGAGCATAAGATTTCGTGAGCTACAGCTCACTTCATCAGATGCATAAGCAGCATAAAGATACAGTTTCTCCTTGTCAGGAATTTTTATTCGCTTCCCTCAGAGTTCAAGCTGATGGGACGAGTCCACATGCATGTCCCCGGTTCATGGCTGAAGGGGGAAACAATCAGCAAAGTATTTTGTCCTCTGATGTTCCACAATGACTTGTCTGGTGTCTATGGGCCTTCTTTTGTTGGACAGGAGATGAGACCTCTTGTGGCAAACTAGTATTTCACACTTGGTAATGCTGCTCTCCAGATTTAGAATTTCAGAGCCAACTCTTTAATATTGTCTAACACGGGATACAGCTACTGTAAGTGAGATTAACACATGCAGCAACTCACAAGCATTTCATAATGTCTAAACACGAAATACGTTTTTATAAATCTAATACCTATTTTAACAATACTAACACCTAGACTAATCCAGCTATGCATTTGTCAGTGTTCAGTGAGGCCTAGGGGCCTTGACAAGAGCTCGCACCTGGTCTGTCAACGTCACAGGACCATCACCCCATCTGCTCCTTCCCACTCCCACCCCACAAAAAAGTAATGTCCTAGCTGCTCTCCTCCCAGGAGGGAGCATTGGCCTGGCTGATCTCTTTAGCCTCCCCTCCCCCAGTAACAGCTACAATTCAGTGGGAAACTGGGACTGTCAGATTTCATGGAGGGAAATGATCTTGTCGAGGCGCAGAGGGGACGCTCCGATGTGGTCGACGGGAGAGGATGGGGGTTTCCCCAAAAAAGGGAGCAAGAGCTCGAAAGACAGAAGTTACTCCAGAAATCCCCCTCTTCCTTCTCACTTCAGATAGCGGCTGCATGCAAATTCACACTGTCCTTGCAAAGCAGATGGTAAGAGACAGTCTCTGCTCCCTCCACACAGAGGCAGATTAAGGTTTTGTGGGGCCCTGGACCAGAGCAAGAGGCCTTTCAGCACCACAACTGAAACATATATATACACATAGAGAGAGCCCTTTTCGTGGTGCATTGGGGAGGGGGGAATTCATCCCTGCCATGTGCCATATAGATTCAGGGAAAACCCGCAGCGTAGCAGGCGTCTCCAATGGGCACACAGTCAGTGTAGCCAGCTCCGTAACCCTGGAGCAGGGCCATTGATGGAGGAGCAGGAGAGGACAGGGCACTCCCGAATGCCAGCTATTTGGCAGTGGTGCAGTGGTCTACAGAGATTGTTGCAACCATTGTGTAAATTATAGCTGCCCTGACTGACAGTAAAGGGCGAAATCAGCCCCAAGTTAGGGGAGGTGCATTGCCTGCCCTCTTGGTCCCTGCGCCGGGCTCGGAATGAATCCCGCCATGTGCCAGCAGAGCTTGTAACTGCAGGGAGGCCTCCACGGTGTTTGATGGAGAGACTACAGGTGGATTTCTGGCTTGTCTCTGCAACATAGCATCTCCACACTGCTGACTTGCATCTGAAGGTGAGGGTGTAGTCTCCCCTTTAGCTGGAGATCAGGTTGGTAAAGAATCAAGTCTCAGGCCCCAAAAGAAGTCCCAGCACATGATAATCTTGTTCTGGTTCTTTCTAGGTTTGTGAAGGTGAGTCACAGAGGAATCGCCGCTGAAGGGCATCTGCAAAGGAGGAAGATGGTCTGTGCAGTGAGCTGGGGGGGGGGGGAGAAGGGAGGAGGAGAGCTTGTGGGGGAAAGGAGGAAGCAGCTCTGTCGGCCAGCACAAACCAGGCTGCAGCCCCCAATGGTGGGGATCCAGCAACCCGAGCTGCCCATACACCTAGCTCCACCAGTGCCTGGATCAGCCTCCTCCAGGCCACATCCTCTTGGATGCCTGGTGGAGGGCAATGGGCCTACCACTGGCTGCCCTCTCCTGGTGGTGGTGGATGCCCCCTCCCTGGACACAGAGGGGGCATGCAAACTGCACCCAGGTGCGGGTGAATGCAGCCCCACCCTGTGGGAATCGTGCCTGAAGGGAGACCCCACAAATGGCAGGAAGCGTTTAACCCACTTGAGCCATGGGAAGTCTCTATCCCAGAGGTGGGCAAACTGCGGCCCGTGGGACCCTCCTGCCTGGCCCCGGAGCTCCTGGCCCAAGAGACCCGGCCCCTCCCCCGCTGTTCCCCCTCCCCCGCAGCCTCAGCGCGTCGTGCTGCCGGTGTTGTGTATTAAACGGCTCCGCGTAGGAACGTGCTGCTGGTAGCAGTTACGGGGAGCAATTTACTGCACTACACCGGCGCAACGCTCTGGGGGGCAGGGAGCGGGGGGGGTTGGATAGAGGGCAGGGGAGTTCAGGGTGGTGGTCAGGAGGGCGGGGGTGTGGATGGGGTCGGGGCAGTCAGAGGGTGGGGGGGGTTGAATGGGGGCTGGGGTCCCGGGGGGGCAGTCAGGAAGGAGGGGGGTTGGATGGGGCGGTGGGGGGCAGTCAGGGGCAGGGGTTCCGGGGGCGGTCAGGGGACAGGGAGTGTGTGGGGGGGTGGATGGGGCAGGGGTCCTTGGGAGGCCGTCAGGGAACGGGGGCGGTTGGATGGGGCAGGAGTCCAGGGGGGGCCATCGGGGGCGAGAAGCAAGTGGGGGCGGATGGGGGTGGGGGCACAGCCTGGCACAGCCTCCCCTAACCGGCCCTCCATACAATTTCCAAAACCCGATGTGGCCCTCACACCAAACAGTATGCCCGCCCCGCTCTACCCTAACCAAATGTGCGCTTTGCAGCTCCATGTATGGTCAAGGACAGTAGGGGGCGCTGTGCAGCACCATGCGGAGCCCTCACCCCAGAATGACTAACTGTCACCAGCAGCCATACACGCCTCGCGAGGATGAGCCAGGCTTTCAACAGGATGTGAGGCTGCAATTCAGCACAGCTAAAATGAGACAATCAG